CAGTTTGAGCAGTAAATGTGTCTCCAGAGCTGACAGAGACCATGTGGAGGGTCAGGACAGCAGACCAGTGGAGCACCTCAAAAAAGCCACAGAAAAGTGGACTATTGCTAAAATTATCACTGAGTCCACACCAGGAGCCAGCAGCAAAGTCCAGATATGGTCACAGCGCACGCCGGACTAAACAGACGCTCTGTAGATGTAACCACACAAAAACACACAAACGCGTGCATAAACGCACATACATGCACGCCCAAATACACAAAGACACACAGCAGTATTCTGTTGCACTTATACTATAAGTATAAGTATTCACTTTGATTTATTGTCATGTATAGTGTTTATCATTGTAATTTTGTTATTCTTTGATTTACTCTTATTGACATAAATATAGTGCCACCTAATGGATGAATACTGGCCATTCTATCTGGCATAGTTTGTCATGGGCTCTACTTTCAATATGTACATTTAGACATTTTTTGGATGAGTACATTTTGAAATTTTTGAGCAACACTTTGTGGATGTGTGTGTGCCATAAAACGTATTATTTTACATTAAAAACACTTTCTCAAAACGTGATGCTGTTTTCTAACATGTAAGATCCTGGACATGTTTGAGGAGATGCTAAAGTTAAACTAAATAGTTTTACAATCACTTTTCTGCAGTTCGTCTGTTTTCACAAAAACCTCATTTTCAAATTTTTTTGTCTAAGACTGGTGCTTTTTGTCACACTCTCCTCTTTTCAACTGGAGATCACAGGAGAACGAAACAAACTAAGAACAAACTTCTTTTTGCTGCTGAAAGTAGACAGTCCTGTCTTTCAGACTCTGGTTTCATATTTTTCATAGCACACAATATTCTGTGAGTCTTAAAAATCAGTGAAGTCATCAAAAAATGGCTGGCAGTCAATGAGAACCTCTTTTTCGTGTACAAAAATTACATACAAATACAGATGATAAAACAGTCACATACAGATGATAAAATAGTCACATACAGATTATACAACAGTAACACACAATTTCATAAAATTACGGATTATAAAAAGTTACATTTCACTGAAGATGTCTCAATCTGGATCTAAAAGCATTCAAGGAAATAAGATCAGATCATTTCTAGTCTTTTTGCAACACGTTCCATGTAGAAGGAGCAGTTTTTTGTTCCCAGTTCTGTGCAAAAGGAACAGAGAGCAACAAACGATCATTTGATCCAAACCATGAGAACATGTCTCTGAGTAAACGACAGATGTAAGAGGGCAGCAGAGCAAGCCTTAGAAACTAAAGTGCACCAGTGTCCAAACCTTCTGTGGACAAAGATCCCACTCCAGAATCACTCACAGTGAGGCTTTGCAGTTCGCAATGAATGAAACATTTAAAACATTTTTTTTTCCTATATTTAAGCGCAGTCTTACTGTTGAAACTGTGTAAAATATTACATTAAATATACTTCTTTAGGAATGAAACCTCTGCCTTGTTATTGATGAATACTTCGGCTTACTACGCTACTGTGTGGTGTGGTCATTTGTGGTGGTACTTGGAGAGGCAAGTATTTTCTGAGGGGGTACTTGGTGTGAAAAGTTTGAGAACCACTGTTTTATACTATATACTATATCGTTTCTCTCTAATGAATTATGTTTTTGTTTTTCACCTACTATACTATCCTTGATTACTATGTATATTCTTAATTTACTCAATACGGTCTGATATTTAAATGTTGTTTATAAGAAGTACTCGCAGAAAGCCCCATCCTTAGGCCTGTCGCGATAGTCAATAAATCAATTAATCGCACGATAAATAAAATTTGCTCAATAACTTTTCTGGCCGCGATAAATCCCATTTGCAGCTTGTTTGTTTCCCCCGTCTCTCTCTCCCCCGTCTCTCTCGGGTCAGAGAGCCGCAAAGTGGTCACGGGAACATTAGCGGTCTAGCAAGCAGACGGAAATTACTCAAAAATACAAAATACAGCCAAAACAGGACCTAAACCAGGACTTAACCAGGATTGACAATGGGGGACACAGTAGTTGTGAACATATGCCGGCAGCTGAGTTCTCATTCAGGCTTGATTAGTGACTATACTAGCGCAGCTAGCGTTAGCGTGTTCGCCGATGCAGAAGTACCGTACCATACCAATAAAATAAACTTATGGCGCACCTCCGTGAACACATACTGCTGTTATATAAAGTCTCTAGAAGGTCTCTGAACACAGAGATGCTGCAGACTTGCATTCTTGGAGTAGAACTTTACACAAAAAACCCGCTAGCTTAGCTGTTAGCATCAAAGCCCGCCCCGCTACTTCCGGTGGGCACTACCGCAGCAGGACTTCTGTACGCCCCATTGGTAAACCCACATGTCAGTCACTTGTCATTCGCCTGGTGTGTGGGGAGGTGGGACTACTCCTGAGAGATCCTGTCTTAAGCCACACAAAGTCAACATGTTGGTATTTCTTTCTCGTAATCTGCCATAAAGTCTGAGAAATTATTGACATTTGAGGCATCTGTTTCATATTTTCTTTACAAAGGTCCTGGCAGTTTTATTCCTGGTCATTTTTTGTTAAGAGACTGAGTCTATTTTATTTGTTTTTGGTTGTTTGTTAATTTATTGTGTTCTAGCGTTAAATATTTGTTAAAAATAAAAGTTTATTTCTCTTTGAAAAGGTGTACCTGCATTATCATTGTAATCGATATATAATCGCAATATAATCGCTTATCGCAATAATTTCTGAGACAATTAATTGTCCAGCAAAATTTGTTATCGTGACAGGCCTACCCATCCTTTAAGATCATCAAGCGCTTTGACATCACAGTGGAGACATCATGCTCATTTAAAACGTGATAAAGACTTACATTTTTACGACCGGCAGCTTAACTAATTCTCCGTCTCTTTAAACTAATGGAAACTTTTGAGCGGCTTTGACATCACAGGGCGACCATCACAGCCCTCATCAGGAGCAAGTGCGCACCATCTGCCCACAAACACATCACAGCAAGCTTCTGGAGAGCGTGTGTACTCCACATCATATGCATTAGCACCAGGAGCCTCGCAGAGCCACAACACGGGGCCCGGAGCCTCGTAAGCGCAGGGCAGCAGGTGCTCGCGTCACCAGGCTTCACTCACTAGCCGCGTGTAAAGCCAGTTGGCACGTTTTATTGGCGGTAGGCTTCGTTTAAAGTGGCATTAGTGTGTGTGAAGCTCCACTCCAGTTCCCAGAGTGTGTGTGTTCGTAAAGCTGCGTTTTGTCATTTCTTCTCTTGTTGCCTGTGTGTAATTATGATTGCATGTAATTTTCCATAAGAGTTCATGGGAATTTATAGGACTTCACTGAACACCTTTGAACATGATATCATTTCTGTAAAATACTGATACAGACTGGTTGTGGTCTCAGAACAGCTCAGGTTGTGGATCTGTTCAGACACCGATTAGAATCATGATGTTGTTGCAGTTGAACATTAATCTGACTTTGTAGAAAGTAATATGATACATTCAGAAGAATTACCTCTCGATAATAAGGCATCTAGCCAATAGAAAACCTTTTTTCTAAATTAATTCATAACTGTGTAAACTTCGTTTACTGTAATGGGTATTTTTTCTATTTATTGTTCCCTTTACTGGCCTTGTTGTTTTGATCCTCAAACTCTTAATTTGTATCAAAAGCTTACTTTTAAACTTGCATGTTTTTGAGTACATTCTGCTGAGACTGGAGACTGGACTCTGAGGATACTGGCACCAGCAGGTTTAGTGAAAACAAACGTTTTCTTACAGCTTACAGCACAAATCCTGTAAGCTTCACCTGTGTAACGACAGATCAGTCTGACCTGAGGATTTCTAGTCTGATCACTTGGTATTTTATCGGTATATGATGTAATGGGAGGAAATGGCCTTTGGTTAAGTTAGACCTAAGTACCTGCTGAATATTCCCCTGATGAGATGTGAGCAGGACTTTGTTAGCTGATGTCTGACTGATGAAAAACACACAGTACCAGAGGTGGAGACACGATGACAGCTTTGATTTGCCTTTTTCCAACCAAAAAGATAGTTCAAAGCTTTTGGAAAAAAATCCTTATTTATTTTTTCTTCTGCGCTTTGAACTTTGACTTTACCCCATGAACATGCATAAAGTTGCAACATTTTGCCACATTTTTTATTTTTATTTTTGTGTTTTTATTTTTATTTTTTTCCACACAATTTTACTTTTCTGTTCAACTCTTTATTATTTCTGGACAAAACTGTTTGGTGCCCCAGCTTTAATCATTAAATCACGGTGAGTGTAACATTTGAATCAGAGAAGCCTAACTGTTTGTAGCACACTCTGTCTCCCACCATCTACTCCTCTTCCTCTCTTCTATCCCCTCCTCTGCATCTCTCCACCCTCCCCTGCTGTCCTCCATCACCGCGCTCCCCCCCTAGAGGGCGTCGTGTAGCCGCGCGCCGCTAACGATTGCGGCCTGTCACCCCCGGCGGGATGGATGAGGCACGCACCCTTGCTCCGGAGCCTCATTAGCATTCGTCTTTAATCCGTCTCTGCCAGGACGGGCCCTGGACCGCGGCACCGAGGCGCACACCTCTCAACGCGCGCTCTTATGTTAATGAGATGCGTACGGTGGCGCCGGCAAACCTCCTCCATCACGGCCCCCGTCATCAGCTTATAGAAATCCACTAGTGATCATAAGAGCTTATTATGGGTGATTAGGTAATGCGAGGAGGAGAGACTGGGAGGTAGAACAACACTTGTTTTTTCCCCTCGCGCATCTCTCCTCACAAGCCTTGTTAGTGCTAGTCTCTCCTCTCTCTCTTCTCTCTCCTCTCTCTTCTCTCTCCTCTCTCTCTTCTCTCTCCTCTCTCTCTTCTCTCTCCTCTCTCTCCTCTCTCTCCGCTCTCTCTTCTCCCTCCTCTCTGCCATCATATTGACCTGTGCGCTGCCTGCGTTATCAATAATCTCCTGTTTAGCCGTGTCTCTTCACTGATCTGCACTAATGAAGCAGCCGTTGTCAGCGTTCAGACGGCAAAGCGATGAGGAGTAATCTGAACAGTTCTGCTTCTCCCCCAGATGACGGTTTGAATAACAGAGGGTTGACATGAACATCTTAAAGGTCCTATATCACGCTTTTCTTCATGTTTCACACTCAATCCTATACACATGTGTGATATTAATGTGTATGATACACCACACAACAATCAAAGCTTGTGAGATTAGAGCCATCTCTTGTATAGAGGTGACGTCACCTCGACTCAAACGAGCTGATCCAGAGTCTGCTCCTCTGCCTGTGAGCCCGCCTCCCCCCGCCCGCACGGTGACGTAGCATCACGCTTTTGTCGTTTATCACCTGTACTTAGTAATTTCATACATAAGAATAAACTTTTTCCAACAATGACAATCCGTCACATCGAGCCCTATGTCCTCGATGCACAATCAGACCCTAGTTATTTAGTTTACAGAAGTATACAGCGAGTTAGCGTCACTACTTACAGATCGAGGGGGTCCGAGTTACGTCTTTTACCGTGGGAATAACGTGTTTCCAGATCAGCTTTTGAGTAAGTCCAGTTCCATTGTCCCTGTAGTTCTGGAACAGTCTCAGTGAAGTGTCGCAGATGAACCGGTATTATAATAGATCCATGAGATGAACAGATGAAAAAAGTCGAGCCGCTTTCTTCCTCTTAGGGCCAAATAGTGTGTCACATATTTACACCCATAACACACTTCATTCAAGTTGACGTGATCCTAACACTTTTAGTTGCTGACAAAAGCATAAAAACAGCAGCTCTATGTGGTGTCCGCGAGACCAGACCACAGACGCTGAACTCGGGAGCCGGAGCCTGTGCGCTCTGATTCGCTGTTTTGATCCGTCAATCACCTCCCGCCGGCTTTTAATTTATTTTTATTAAGCTACTAAATAAATATGATGAAGCTGGGACACCTAACTTTTAAAATGGAATTTTTAAAATAGAATAATATATTTTGTCCCATTCTGAAATAAGTTTGTCCCACCAGAAAGTCTTAAAGTTAAAGTAAAATGCTCTGAACATAATACAATAAACTGTTTTCATCTTATTAGAAAACATTATTAGTTGTGAGTCACTGCTTACTACTTTTATCATTGCATTTCTTGTGTTTTCATTGTATCATTGCAAACGGTTGGCGAATTAACAGTTTTGTAAAGTCCTCTGTGATAACTACTATTATGATTTAGGGGTTTACAAATATGAATGGAATTTCATTTAATTGATTTTAAACATGACATCTCTGTACTACTCTCGCTTTCGTGGACACATTGGACTACTTATGGTAACAGCCTTAAATCTCCCTTCCACATACATTACTTGTCATAAGCCGTGATATACATTGTGCGTCTCATTGAGTGCCTTGAACCCGGTCCATATTGCGCAGCATATGTTGTGTTGCGTTGGCCTTATGCTGCTGTAGATGCAGTGCTCCTAATAACCCGACACAATCATCACACTGACAGCAGGGGGAGGGCCTCTCTCCATGTACAGTGGAGTGTTCACCCTGCTGAGATGTGACGGCCACTTGAGCTGTTTTTGTCTAAGGCCTAATTCCCTTTTAATTATTAACAGGAACATTACGAGGCTCTCACCGTTAAGAGGCCTTTCATTAGAGGCCAACGGCCCCCAGAAGACACGTCCAGCTGACTTCATCTGTTTCTGCTGCTGCTGACGCACAATCGGACTGGCCATTCGTGGTGGTGGGAAATCAATTCTGTTCAGTAATGTGATATTTTACACACGCAATTAAATCGATACAGGAGATTTCAGTTCAACGTTTTGGTCTACGCTTCCAGTGGTTTCTTCATTCAATGTGCTGACCATAAAAAATGTGACATTTGAGCTGAGTCTTATTTTCCTCCATGTTTGTAATGCCTTTGAACGATATGAGAGACATGAATCAAAATATATTGCAGTATTGAATCGCACAACTTGCTGTATCGCGATAATATTGAATCCTCACATTTTTGGCAATTCCCACTCCTACTGGCCATTCACCACCACCACCACCAGCACGAGCGTTATGTGAATGTGCAATACAAACAATGCTTTGTATTGCCTTTTATTTAGTGTTGTGAACGTGCTCAAAAAGGACCATTTCCACAATTACAAAATTGAACAATTGGACAATAGGACAACTTTGGACAACTAGTGTAAAATGGCTTTAATAAAGGCTGTATTTGCTTAGTGTAAAATGGCTTTAATAAAGGCTGTATTTGCTTAATTATTTCTTAAAGTTACATTTGTATTCCAGATATTAGGTACAGTGTGCTTTGTTTAATTGAAAGCTACTGCAATCATACATCATTGTATCGTGTCTTGTTCAATCTATATTTGTGTATATGTGTAACCGGAAGAAACATTTTGGCAACAAAAGTGTGATTGTAATGTAATTTCTATACCACTAAGAGACCCTTTAAGTATTTTCCTGGTATCAGTAGTTTATTTTACTGCTCATTTTATTTTTTAGTGCTAACTTTTTACTTCTACGCCTCACTTTTTTAAACCCACATCTGTACATTCTGATCCTTAATTTTTGTCATTACTTGTGACTTTGCAGATGGCAACATGACGGTCGGTGGTCTGACGTGGTTAGCCATGCTTCTAAAGTGAATAGAGTCACTGTCATTGATCATATAACCGACATTTCTACATGTTTTGTTCATGATCAAATTTTCTGCCAGCACAAACCATTTGTACAACAATGTTTTCTAAGTGTTTAAAAGCAATGCTTAAAATGTCTCAAATACAGTATATTGTCCGTCCCATTTTTCTTAGTAGATATTTATATTAGTACCTCCCTCAGTCTCAGGACGCTCCCTCAGTCTCAGGACGCTCCCTCAGTCTCAGGACGCTCCCTAAGTCTCAGGACGCTCCCTCAGCCTCAGGACGCTCCCTCAGCCTCAGGACGCTCCCTCAGTCTCAGGACGCTCCCTCAGTCTCAGGACGCTCCCTCAGCCTCAGGACGCTCCCTCAGCCTCAGGACGATCCCTCAGCCTCAGGACGCTCCCTCAGCCTCAGGACGCTCCCTCAGCCTCAGGACGCTCCCTCAGCCTCAGGACGCTCCCTCAGCCTCAGGACGCTCCCTCAGCCTCAGGACGCTCCCTCAGTCTCAGGACGCTCCCTCAGTCTCGGGTCGCTCCCTCAGTCTCGGGTCGCACCCTCAGTCTCTGGTCGCACCCTCAGTCTCTGGTCGCACCCTCAATCTCAGGACGCTCCCTCAGTCTCTGGTCGCTCCCTCAGTCTCTGGTCGCACCCTCAGACTCAGGACGCTCACTCAGCCTCAGGACGCTCCCTCAGCCTCAGGACGCTCCCTCAGTCTCAGGACGCTCCCTCAGTCTCAGGACGCTCCCTCAGTCTCAGGACGCTCCCTCAGTCTCAGGACGCTCCCTCAGCCTCAGGACGCTCCCTCAGCCTCAGGACGCTCCCTCAGCCTCAGGACGCTCCCTCAGCCTCAGGACGCTCCCTCAGTCTCAGGACGCTCCCTCAGTCTCTGGTCGCTTCCTCAGACTCAGGACGCTTCCTCAGACTCAGGACGCTTCCTCAGACTCAGGACGCTTCCTCAGACTCAGGACGCTTCCTCAGACTCAGGACGCTTCCTCAGACTCAGGACGCTTCCTCAGACTCAGGACGCTTCCTCAGACTCAGGACGCTTCCTCAGACTCAAGACGCTTCCTCAGACTCAGGACGCTTCCTCAGACTCAGGACGCTTCCTCAGACTCAGGACGCTTCCTCAGTCTCAGGACGCCCATCAGTTTCCTGAATCCCTCAGTCTCAGGATGTTCCCTAAGTCTTGGGTCGCTCCCTCAGTCTCTGGTCGCTCCCTCAGTCTCGAGTCGCTCCCTCAGTGTCTGGTTGCTCCCTCAGTCTCCCTCAGTCTCTGGTCGCTCCCTCAGTGTCTGGTCGCTCCCTCAGTCTCCCTTAGTCTCTGGTCGCACCCTCAGTCTCTGGTCGCACCCTCAGTCTCTGGTCGCACCCTCAGTCTTGCGACGCTCCCTCAGTCTTGGGTCGCTCCCTCAGTCTCTGGTCGCACCCTCAGTCCCAGGACGCTCCCTCAGTCTCAGGATGCTCCCTCAGTCTCAGGACGCCTCCTCAGTGTCTGGTCGCTCCCTCAGTCTCCCTCAGTCTCGAGTCGCTCCCTCAGTCCTGGGCCACTCCTCTGATAGACCTGTTAAGCAGTTGTGTTAAGTGGCCACAACACGGCACGCTTCGTCAGCCCTGATCCCGCGGATGCAGCGAGCCTAATTGAACATGATAAAGTGCACAGTTAATTACCCCCGTGTCCCATCAGTGTCCCGCCCACCAGCGTCCTGCCCAGCGCACCCCAGGCACAGCTGCAGCCCCGGGACAAAAGGCCAGCTCCCCCCAGAGGGTCCTCCACTCTGGGGCTGGCTGACTCTGGAGTGCACATGTGACCTTTTCTCTGCGCACACTGAGGCTGAGATGACAAATAGTCTCATTTACTGCTCTGAATTCTTCACTGAGAGTCGACTACACCTGTTCACTCATGCTGCTTAGAGTTGGATATCAATGTTTCTCAAACTGAGGTGTGTGTATCACTGGCAAATTCCTCTGCACTTGAATATTACAGATTATAAATATGATTTACCCCTCTCAATAATAGTACTCCTAATTTTGTATGAGCTTAACCGTTTTCTATCTTAATCCATTTCAAACATTGCTCTATAATCTGTGGTAGTTAGCACAAGATAATCCACCTGTCACGTATGTAGAATCACACTATGCGTCCCGGGCTGCAGGTTAAAACTCTGCTCTTAACCCTCCTTCTGACCTAGTCTTTTGGCCTAGGCGTATTCAGTGGGGACACACTGAATACAGCTGTAATTTAGACACAGTAAAACCATCTGTTTTCTAACCCGCTGCCCACATGTGGATGAGGTGAAGGTTAGAAAACTACACTTTGCAAAATGTCAACATAACAAGCTGTGTAACAAGTGAAGCACTCACTATCAAAGTTTGGGCTGTTGTATGTGCTGCTCTTTCCTTCTGTAAACATGTTTAAAAATATTTATATCGCGCCATTTGGGGAATGAGTTTGCTGTATACAGTGCCTTGCGAAAGTATCCGGCCCCCTTGAACCTTTCAACATTTCGCCACATTTCAGGCTTCAAACATAAAGATATAAAAATGTATTTTTTTGTCAAGAATCAAAAACAAGTGGGACACAATCGTGAAGTGGAACAAAATTTATTGGATAATTTAAACTTTTTTAACAAAAACAAAACTGAAAAGTGGGGCGTGCAATATTATTCGGCCCCCTTGCGCTAATACTTTGTAGCGCCACCTTTTGCTGCAATTACAGCTGCAAGTCGCTTGGGGTATGTCTCTATCAGTTTTGCACATCGAGAGACTGGAATTCTTTCCCATTCTTCCTTGCAAAACAGCTCGAGCTCAGTGAGGTTGGATGGAGAGCGTTTGTGAACGGCAGTCTTCAGCTCTTTCCACAGATTCTCGATTGGATTCAGGTCTGGACTTTGACTTGGCCATTCTAACACCTGGATACGTCTATTTGTGAACCATTCCATCGTAGATTTGGCTTTATGTTTTGGATCATTGTCCTGTTGGAAGATAAATCTCCGTCCCAGTCTCAGGTCTTTTGCAGACTCCAACAGGTTTTCTTCCAGAATGGTCCTGTATTTGGCTCCATCCATCTTCCCATCAATTTTAGCCATCTTCCCTGTCCCTGCTGAAGAAAAGCAGGCCCAAACCATGATGCTGCCACCACCATGTTTGACAGTGGGGATGGTGTGTTCAGGGTGATGAGCTGTGTTGCTTTTACGCCAAACATATCGTTTTGCATTGTGGCCAAAAAGTTCAATTTTGGTTTCATCTGACCAGAGCACCTTCTTCCACATGTTTGGTGTGTCTCCCAGGTGGCTTGTGGCAAACTTTAAACGAGACTTTTTATGGATATCTTTGAGAAATGTCTTTCTTCTTGCCACTCTTCCATAAAGGCCAGATTTGTGCAGTGCACGACTGATTGTTGTCCTATGGACAGACTCTCCCACCTCAGATGTAGTTATCTGCAGTTCATCCAGAATGATCATGGGCCTCTTGGCTGCATCTCTGATCAGTCTTCTCCTTGTTTGAGATGAAAGTTTGGAGGGACGGCCGGGTCTTGGTAGATTTGCAGTGGTCTGATACTCTCATTTCAATATAATTGCTTGCACAGTGCTCCTTGAGATGTTTAAAGCTTGGGAAATCTTTTTGTATCCAAATCCGGCTTTAAACTTCTCCACAACAGTATCTCGGACCTGCCTGGTGTGTTCCTTTGTCTTCATGGTTCTCTCTGCGCTTTAAACAGAACCCTGAGACTATCAAAGAGCAGGTGCATTTATACGGAGACTTGATTACACACAGGTGCATTCTATTTATCATCATCAGTCATTTAGGACAACATTGGATCATTCAAAGATCCTCACTGAACTTCTGGAGTGAGTTTGCTGCACTGAAAGTAAAGGGGCCGAATAATATTGCACGCCCCACTTTTCAGTTTTTTATTTGTTAAAAAAGTTTAAATTATCCAATAAATGTTGTTCCACTTCACGATTGTGTCCCACTTGTTGTTGATTCATGACAAAAAATTAAAATTGTATATCATTATGTTTGAAGCCTGAAATGTGGCAAAATGTTGAAAGGTTCAAGGGGGCCGAATACTTTCGCAAGGCACTGTAAATCATTTTTCTGGGGGTCCCTAAACCACAAGACTTTGTTATCTTCTGTTTCAACCTTCTACATTGTAAATACTATCAAATATATAGATAACAAGTACATTAAGATTAAGATGATGAGATCCTTTATTCGTCCCACACTGGGGAAATGTCATTGTTGCATCAGCAGTTACAGAACAGTAAGAATGAGGAAAATTTTATACAAAAATAAAATTAATCAAAATAAAATCTTAAGCAAAAAAAGAAGCAAGTATAACTTCTCCAACTTTAGCATAATGAAGAAGTAAAAATTAATTACAAAATTGCTGACTTTAGCTTAAAGAGCGACTAAACACCAAATCAACTTTTTTCAACTCATAAACTGCATACATATGTTTATTGTAGTGCTGTCTACATATCCTGGTCATTTTTTTGACATTTTAGTTCAAATTAGATAAAATATCACTTTTGAGCCAAAAAACGTCTGTGTGGCGCCCTCTCAACCTTTTTGGTGGTACTACATTTGAATTTGGTCCTGGCCTCTCCATTGACTCTGAAGTTCTCTATGACATCAGTTGTTTTGTGTGACGTCAGTCTGTCAGAGCCAGTGATGTGAACCCATTCAACTCTCACACACGCCCCAGCTGCAGTTTGGAGTGTTCTGGCGCCATCTAGTGGATTCAAATTAAATTACATGAGTAATTCTGAGATTATTGAGTGTGATTAGGTTCAGGTGTGTAGCTTTACAATTATCTTAGTGTGTAAACAAGGGTGGAATGAGACTTTCTGGTCCGTAAACTATTGTTTTAAGCAGCAATGACAACTGTCTGTTTTTTTTAGTGAGACAAGTGAGCTGTCAATCACAGCCCAGACCACGCCCAGCTCTAAGCCCCCCTTATTGTCCCTTGGTCCTCCAGGCAACGCCCTTTTTAGAGAACATTTTCAAATGTTCATGTGGGCGGACTAAGGCTGGGCACAGGTGTTTAGTCGCTCTTTAGTCGCTCTTTAAGTTTATCTTTTGGTAAAAATATGTGGCTATGTGCTAATGCTCTGTATTGTAATTCACTTTAGCTTCAGGAAGACACCGGGAGGTCTGGGGAGCCATTTATGCTAGTGTCTTTTTGTTGGGTTGGTTTCTTCCTTTTCCATCTGCATACGAAGGTGTGTCTTGCTCTACCAAAAGGGGCTTGCCATCGTGAATCTTCTGGACTTGTCCTGAGAGAGGCTTGGGGTCTTTGCCTTGCCTCTGTCATGACATTTCCTTGTACAAGTACAAGTAAAAGATTAACTTTGCTCTCTTTGTTGTGTGTGTGATTTCATCAGGTTTCAACTGTAGCTGAAACAGCATTAACAGAGATCTTGCACAATCGGGTGTCTGACTAAATACTTTTTTGCCCACTGTACATGGAGACTTAACAAATGGCATCCCCAAGTTTTGTTAATGAGGTTCAAATTTTTTTTTTGGGGGGGTGACACAAGTAAAAACATTAAAAATATGACAATGTTTGTTTATTTTCATGACGTTTTGGACGATTAGATCTTTCATTTAGATTTTTAGCTTTTATACATTAACAAAACCATAAACCATACCATACCATTAACAAAATTGTTCTTCTGGATTTTTTAAAAGGAGCGATTTACTTTTAAGGCCAATTTATTAATAAGCTAGTAGTAGCTAGTAGTAATCACTCCTGTGTTGCCGAACTTACATTACCGCCGCATCAAGCTCTTTCTGCTTCTTCATCAAAGATTTCGTCGGCGGTCCTTTGTCTTTCTTCAAAAACTCTTTTCTGGCACGGTTCAGCAGCAGCTTTCCGGAAATCACAGTGGCTCCGGGCTGATCCGGTGGCCTGGACTTTGTGCTGAAGGAGCCAGCGGGTGAGTGTTACTCAATCAGATTGCGTTGGAAAATTCTGATTGTTCAGTTCAAGTCAAAACGGCTCTGTGTTCTTTTTCCATCACAAGATTCAGGGCCCAGGAACATCGCTGGAGCGTGGCAGATTTGACCAAACACAGAGACAGGACCAAGCCAGAATAACATGCCCTTACAGCGCATACTTTCAGTGGAAATTTTTTAAACAAGTCTGGCAGTGTTGTATTTTTTGCAATGAGGAACAGTTTACAAAGTGTCTTTGAAAATTAAAAAACATGATTTAAAAAATTTTTAACACACAGAACGTTCTCTTTAAGTCTGATAAAATAACGGGAATCTATCTACAATATTTTTAGCACACAGGCTAATTATGAAATTCTGATAAAGCACTTCTAGGAGTTTGTTAGGAGTTTTACAATAATATACCTGAAATCTTTTTTTTTTTTTCCCCTCAAAGTGAATATTAACTGTCAGCAGTTGTCATTGACAATTATCAAGTAACATTGTTGTAAAAGTCAAGTCAATATCAAATTAAAAGCAGATAACATTTATTTCTAGGGATATGCAGGTATATCAATTGAAATATAAAAAAAGCCTTGTGTTTCAAGCGTCTGTGAGTCTTGTGTGTGACTTCTACCCCCAGAGACAGCGGCACATGTTTGCGTTGGCCACAGAGAAGTCATGGATCGGAGATGGCATTCTCATACGTGAGGGTCGATAACTCCCTTCAGCCTCTCCTCCGTATCGATGGTCAGCTCCGTCACCAGCTTCATGAGCTGCTGGAACTTTGCGGCGTGAGTTTGTTGCGGTTGCTGCGCACGACCGTTTGAAATCAGCTCCGGTCCTTCTGTGGTCGAGGGTGTCGGAACTCGGCCTCCTCCACTCGGCGCGCGGGCTTCTTGGCTGAGGGTTTCCAGGCTTTTCGGCGTTGTTCAGTGGATGTCGTCGTCTAGGGACTGCTGTAATGATCTTACGCGGTCTTTGCGCTGCATCTGCTGAGATAGCCGGGGACAACCGTATGCCCATGCCATCCTGGAGGCGGAGGAAAAAAGGAGGACGTGTACAGTTAGCACCGCAATATTGGCGGGTTAAGATTGGAGACTCAACATAGGGCTGGGCGATATGGCAAAAAAAAAAAAAAATCTCGATTTTTTCACACCAAATCCGTTTTCGATTTTAATCGATTTATTTTTTTCTATTTAAAAACAACTTCTAACTGACTAATGAAATAGATTTTCCTTCTATGCAGTTTAATATAAATCCCCATGGAGCAATAGTGTAAACAGGAAATTATGCCTTAAAACATGCTTGTAAACGAGAGGGCTCTGCCATTGTAAACAGTGAAATTGTGCTTATCAGTGTTTATATAATTCACTTACAATGACACTATTGCACCTTCAAAATAACTTAAAATCACAAAACAGGCCCATCGCCAAATTTATCAATCCTTATTAAACACATGGAATGATTAATTTGAAATATCACATTTTAAAACTGATTACTCAAAATAGAATTGTTGTAACAGACGTCTTTTCCAAAAGCCTCCTCGGTTTCATGCTTGTTCTTTCAACTGTGCCTGAGTAACTGTGCTGTAGTACAACGCTCGGTCCAGATGGTGGCGCTAGACTAACTTCAGTGACTCCCGCATGTGCGAGCTACCTGTTTACATTCGGATGCTGTAGTAACAGCTACTGTAGCAGCAGAGTATTTGTGGGGGGATAAAGCCAAACCGGGGGAAAACAGGAAGGAGCAGGTTATGAGAACCGTAATGAGACTGGGTATTGTGGGCTTGCTCAACAGCCTGTATGGATCGGAATGCACAGAGATGGCCTGTGTGAAGGTGCAGTGAGCTAGAGAGTGAAACTTGTTTCTCTTACAAGTGTAGGATCTCTGTGGACAAGAAGGACTGTTGTTTCGCGTGCTCTTCACCTGGGACTGAGCGTGTGAATTGAGGGTCATTGCTTTGCTCCCATGTTGCAGCAGCAGAAGTTTCTCGTGCGCTTGTGGTATTTATTTTTAGTACCGGGTCTGTACCAGAGAATTTGAATGGACTAGGGTGCAATTATTGGATCACCAGTCGAAAAGGCAGCAATGCGCCGACTGGCGACATGTCTGCCGGAAATCCACAAGAAGAAGACGAAGAAAGAAGAGCTACTTGTCAGCGCTACTGCTAGCCTAACAGCTACTGTAGCAGCTACTGTAGCTATACAGACAGCGGGGTACACGTTGTTTGTATCAGAGCATTGAGTGCAATGTGTGAGAAGTGTCTTTCCCAAAGTGCAGCGGTCAGTGGGACACCGGTGTGTGCGCGCCACGGACACGGGAGTGCGCTTTGGAATACGAGCGTGAGAGAGTGTGAATGAAGTGGCGTACGAACATGGTCGTACAAACTTAGCGACCGGCGCATGCGTGCGTGGGTGTGTGTGTTTTGGCGATTAATAAGTCTGATTCTTGAACGTTAGAAGTGTTATTGCAAACTAGCACCAATTGTGAGAGCGAGCATCAGGCCTGAGGGAGATGTTAGCATTAGGCGTTAGCTTCAAAATGACTGCTCAACACCATAGCACCCGCGGTTAGCGCGTTAGCGCTGTAGTTCTGCGTGGAGAAAATAATAATCGTAATCTTTTGAAAAAAAGTATCGCCCTAAACGTAAAACTCAAAGTAATGATTAAAATCGATTAAATCGCCCTGCCTAACTCAACATAATTCTTTTTTATTTGTAAACATTATCTCTCTTGATAGGGGCCTTTGCTCAATCAACACTTCTAAATACCGGAATCTAAATATTTTTATTCAGCTGAAAATTAACTCATTTGAGCTGATATTTGTAAATATAATTGGCTATATCTTGAACATATGGCCAAAATCTGTTATATGTTTGCATGTGTATAATAGATGTACAGTAGACAAAAAAAAAATTCTTCTGCTCAAGGAATAAATACAATTAAAAAATTTAAAATTATTATTTGTCATAGTGAATAATCAAAATTAAAACAGACTTTCTGCTGCTAAAATTGTTGAAGGACAGAGCACTATTTTGGAATTAATTAAAAATATACACTCAAGTTAACACACTCATTTGATTCAATTCAATTGCCTTTAAGAAAGAATAAACTTAATTTGGTCTGAGAGATGAATCTATGTTGAATGAGTGGCAGCTTAAGGTATCATAGAAGCTGATTAGTCCAGAGACACTGTCAGAGGAATAATCACCATATAATAGTGGGATCAAAAATAGATATGTGGAGTAAAAAACAAAAAAAAAAAACTTGGGGGAATAGAGTGATTATAAGCTCACTGGTCCTCTGCGCCTCCCATCCCGGCCGGCCGAGGTTGGCGAATGAAGGCGTGAATTCGGGGCCACAGTATCATTTACGGGTAAACGGCTGGAGGTCGAGCTGCGCAGGGGGGTATTGTATGCCTAAGTGGAGACAAATAATGAATACATGAAACCCTTTTTAGTGTAAATAATACTTCCGTTTCATGACATTCATTATTGGATGTGGAAAGAAATATTAAGAAATGTGGTCTACTTATACTGTACAGAGTAGGTTAAAAATGTCTGATGTTTGTTCCTTATCAGGACGACGTCGCTGATGCAGGCAGACCTGTAGGTTTGTTCTACTGGCGGAGCCGAACTGGTAAACCCAACATGAACTCTCTGTCGAATTTTCTTCTCTCTTTCTGGGTTTATTGGCTTCCAGTTTCTGAAATAAAACCCATTAATATCTAATATAGTGCATTAGCTAAAAAACAAAAAAAAAATTCCCTTTGAAGGATACACAAATGTACAGGGCTCCGTGTTTGGGCAGTGAAACGGGTTGAAGAAGTTTTAAAATTAGAGAAAAGGTATTGCTCATTCCTTGTTTGCAATAAAATGTTGTTTTACTACTGAACAGATACATTTAATTGGGTTTTTAAAAAACAACTAACAATCTAAATTTAAATCACTCATTTACTGATCGTCTTAAAGTTAAAGGGGGGAGGGTGGTCATAGCTATAGTTGCAAACATTTCTTCATCTTTGACTATTTCAAAATGCAACTTTAAACATAAAAAAAACAGCAAACTTATTTCTATCAGAACTATATAAAAAACATCAAGAATTTAACACTTGAGTTAAATGCATTTAGACAGAATTAAGGTTTGTTAAGCCTTAAAAGAAAGATAATCAACGCCTTTTTATCAGGAGCTGGCAGTACACAGACTCCACAGAGTGATGCTGTGATTAACAGGGACACCTCTTTTGTAATGATACTTCTTGTCAGTATGCTGGTTTCATGGTTTTGGCTGAATGTTTCCGAGTCCAGGCTTGTCCTCTTTGTCCTCTTTGTCTTCCCTGGTGAGGTCTGCCTCCTCTGGGGCTGGAGGCGCTGCGGGGGGTCTCGGCGCTGAGGTGCGACTGGCTCTGGTCTGGTTTGACCACCACCTGCTCCTGGGACAGAACAAGAGAGGAACGTAAAGAGGCTGGCACCTGATATAGTTGCTTTGGTGTTGAGACAGACTTGTTCAGTGTTTATTGTCGGAGAAGCAGGAAGTGTAATGTCTAGCAGTGAAAGGGCTAACTCACGCGTGAGTCTTGCATCCTTAGAGTCTAAAGACGTACTCATAAACTTATCAAAATTTATAATTAGGGTGGGAGGGAATGGTGTGAGAAAAGTATCACAAAAGAAAATGAAAATTACAATTGGTTCTTTTAAATAATTATAGTAAGAAAGATAGAAAGGAATAATCATCCAAATACCTCTTTGATGGCATCAGGAGATCACCCACTGCATCCTTTTTGGTCTGTTCCGTCATTTTTCCTCTTTTTCTTTGGCACAGGACACGCAGCTGATAAAAAACAAATAACACTTAATAAGCTATCACACAAACCACACACATAATACTAAACTCGTGCCCTTATAAGGATTATTAAAGGTTTTCTACAAACAAATGTTGCAATAATCTGGAATAGCTGAAAGTACAGTCTCAACCGGGTCATCTTTTCCCACTGTTTCTGCCAAGCCCGTTCCCTTGGCTGTGGTTTCGTAAGGGGGGGTAAAATATTTGGCTACTTGAAGTGATGCTACCTACCCAAATAAGAGCTGATGCAACTGTTTACTGATGTAAAAATAACAGAGTAAATATTCCAAACTTTTGATTCTCAAATGTCGACTAGTTTTCCTATGAGAAATGATATCTACAGAAGGCTTGAGCAAAGGGGGTACTGTATTGTATGAGCAGAGCGCACCGACCTTGCATAGCAGTTTCCACGGGGGCGGGAGGCTATGGGGGGTGTTGGGGTGCCGCTTGTTCCTTGACTTGGGGGTGGGTAGGCATGCTTCTGGGATGCTCTCAGGCTCGATACCTTCTCTCCTTCACCGCAGTTCGACCTTCAGGGGCGTCGGGCCTTTTCCTCGGCCTCTTCAGACTCGAGTTGAGGAAGCGCTTCTGGTTTTCTACTTTGACTTCTGGGACGACCGATTCACAGGGCTCTGGGACGGGTTCAGGGTCCTTTTCCACTGGTGGGACTGGGAAGCTTGTGCTATGGGCACTTGAACGATATTGACGTGGTAGGTAGGCTATCCTTCAGTGGTGAACTGCGTCTCGGTTCTGTTGATAGGGCTATCGTCGCATTCGGCTGTGCGTGCGGACGGTGCTTCGGGCCGTCCTGGGGAGAGGCAGCGGCAGACCGTTTGGTAGAACGCAGCTCTTGGTTGTGCTATGGGTTGACTCGAGTGGAGCTTCCAGATGATTTTTTGTGGCATTCCTACGATAAGCTTTCTGTCTCAGTAACTCCATTTTGGCGAAGGAACGATTCTTCAGATGGCAGTGTCCATCTCTGTCCTCGTCTTCGATTCGGCGTTTTGTGTTTCGTCGAGCGCAGACTGGGCAGAGGGGACGGGGTCGGGCTGCGGTGCGGGGGTACGCAGGATTTCAGGCGCTGATTGAACAGTGGGCTGGGTCCTTTGAGAGAGGTGGAGGAGAGTCCCATCAGTCGGAAATGGGGAGCTGCGAGGAGAGGGTTTGGATGAAGGATGCAAGTGTCTGTGTCAGAGGGAGTAGTGTTCAGTTCAGAGAATGTCGAGGTCGTGGGACTGGGTTTGAGAGCTCAGGAGTTTTCGTAGGGAGGTGGATGGCGAAGTTTTCCCTCGATCATCTGCCAGGGACAGAGTCTAAGACCTATTATAGTTCAGTGATTGCATTAATATTGAAGAAAAGTATTTTGCCAACATGAACACACAGATTTGTTAGTTCATATTCAAAGCACTGTAAATAAATGTGATAATGTGATGTCATTAAAGAATGTCTATGCCCCAGTCACAGTGTTGCTCCTTTTTGGGTTAAAAAGGGTCTCTATGTGCTCTGGCTATCCATTGGGAGTCAGAACATGTGGTGTTAGTACAATAGCCATCTTAGCATTTAGCATTACTGTTATGATAAAAACTCTTCTTTAAACTTAAACAAATCTCTGAAGTGAAATAATTGGCAATATTGAAACTTGATACAGTTTCACATGCATCTGTAACTTTCTCAGAAATTTTTTTATTTTAACACATTAAAGTAGGTGACATGTAGACCTAAAGCACATTAAAACAACACAGATGAAACTCACTGGTCTGCTTAATGGGGTGCAGAAGCAGCTGGGATACTATCACGTTGGACTGTCACATTGCTGAACCTTCTGATCCAGATACGGCTGACTGGAAAGTGATGCGGTATTAGGTTTTTCGCGTTTCCATGAATATTCAAGACTATCCATATGTCTTACCGCATTATTACTAGTCTTGCTATCTAAAGTCAGTATTTTGCCCCTGATCTGTGTTATTACCCTGAACCTCAAAACACGAAGAACAGTGGGCAATACAACCATGTTGGTACTCAAACTTAACTTACTTGTGGCGGTGTTGGAGTAGAGCCACTTCTCCACCAGGCCATAATCTCCCTCTGTGATGTCACGGCGCCTTGTTTCGGGTCCTCTTATTATAATCTGTGAAGGATTGACAGAAAGAGTTTTAAAATGGACAACCGAGTAATAATTGACAAAGTTGTTGATGACACATTCCTCTGGATCCGCATTGTCATTGCTTGAATTGAGTTGAAAGAGATAGTCTCAACATGATTCAAACAGCAGTGGGACCACCAGGAGAATTCCTCTTGTGCATTAGCCTCTTTTGATTGTGCTTGTAGGCCTAACTGCTAGTTAAAAAGGCAGTAATCCAAGTTAACTCACAAAATATGTCCGTTATTTTCTGAACAATATCCCATCAAGATTTTAGTTGAGAAGACATTTACTGAATATCTTTAGGTTATGGTATTGAAAAATGATAACCAAGTCTGACCAAACTAGTCTCCACATTTATCTTTATGACTGTCAATAATCAGTGAGATGATTTGTCAAATAATGAGTTTGTATATATGCAGGACATAATAAAAAAAAGTACTTCTTTTTTTGCAAACTTAGAATAATGATAGGGCAAGTTGCAAGTCCTGTTTGTTTACAACTAAAATTTCACTAGCCACTACTGGGAAAAGAAAGAATGGAAAACTTCATAAAGGAGTGTCTCTTGTCCACTGCAAACACGCGTTTTCTATTCTCTGCTTTTCTCTCACTACATTACTCGAAATGCTTAGCCAAGTAGTCAGCGCTTGTTACTAAAACTGGTATGAACTAGAGTCCTCGGCTGCAGAAACTCAAACACTTTGCACATGGCCTCCTCCTTCCTTTCCATTCTCGTATGGTGAAACGTTGCACGCAACACACTTAACTGACCCTTACCTGCAAAGAGTCCGTCAAAAACTCTTGCCGCTGGAATTAGCAATCATCAACAGTCCTTTTGGACGTGCCCCCTAATACCTGGGACTTTTGACCTTTGCTGAGCTCAAGGACCAGCAAAAATTAGACATGGCTGGTTTAGTTTGGAAACTTTATCTAAGGGTTAAAAATTACGGAGTCCAGTTAAGTCACCGGAAATAGCAGACAGCGCCACACGATCCAACTACAAACTACCTGACTGTCCACTCCCTACTCCTACTTTCTGCTCAGAGATGGGAGAGAGGGGAAAAAGCATAAAAGCGACTGGCCTTGTAAAGCTGTGGTTATTGGAATGCGCACCCCCGCCCTCACTAGTGCTTGTGGGCATTGTATGTGAAGGTTGGGCATGGGATGGAAGATTCAGAAAGGTATTATGCAGAAAACCAAGGGAACTCCCAATTTTTTCTTCGAACTCCTGATTTCTCTCAGTGACTACTGCTGTCACATTACACAGAAAGGCCCAGTCACTTCCCACACAGTGATGAGGCGTAAGCTGGAAGAGGCTAGAGGTAGGATAGGGTTTGATAGCACTTCCGCTTGCAGTGGGGGGACCATGCCAGTGGAGCTGTGCTTTGTGCTGACACGTCCTTCACCCCCCTCCCCTAAACAGTTGTTTTCCTCCTGGATTTATTGCCGTTTAGAGGTAGGGAGCATGAGGAGGTGAAAAAGGGTATAATGTTTGACTATGGAGCAATATCCATGACTTAAGATCCTGCACAAGGCCGGAGATTAACTATTACAGTGTCAAGGTGTGAATTGGATAGAACTTAGCTGAATAACTATGCGGAATCGGATGTATATCTTATGTCCTGAATGCAGGGCCAAAGGGATTAAAAATGCATGCAGTACAGTGGAGCAGTGTGATACAAAGACATTGTGTTGTTGGGAAGGGGACAAGCAGCTGGACCAAGAGAATACTTCTTCTAGATAATTGATTGTAATTGGTTGACTATACTTTGATACGTGAACATTTTTCTCAATAGCACAACAACATACTTTACTCCACCAGAGTAACCAATGGCAATTTGTGGCTTCAAATGCAGTGGTTGCAGTGGTCTTCCAAGTTTGTTCTTTAGGCAGTGGTTCGCTGCCGAAAAAAACTAGTTCAACATTCAAGTGGAATTCTGAACAATTTACTACTTTAATAAAAAAAAAAGGGGTGTCCAATGATCACGGAGAATTTAGTTGCATTTATTGAACTTGCGTGGGTTGTGTGACAACGTTGTTCGCGTTGGGGTAGGGCCCATGGAAGAGTTCGATGTTCCTCCCCAGACGAACCACAGGCACTGATAAGCAGCAATTTGTAGGTCTACATGTGAGCTATCAAGTGAACACACACGAAATACAGACCCACGTGATATCCAATAAACTGGGCACATGATGATTATTATTCTGATTACAAAAAGCACAATATGAAGAATCACTGGTGGCTGGGCGACACAATGCATAAATTCAAATTTACCATGTTCTTCCTTCAAAGTCATGAAAACTGATGGACATATTCGCGCGATATTTTTTGTGTTGAAATATTGGCTATGGACTTTAACTTCTTCCATCCAGCCATTATGCTACTTTAACATGGTTTATAGATCAAAGCCAATTATCTCATGAAAAAACAACAAAGCATTTTTTTACGCAAAGTATCGGTACTCGGTTTCTTCAGCTTAGTTCCAGTCTGTTTCTACGCAAAAATAACGAAAACACTTTTTGTTCCGAAAAAAGAATCATTCAATAAAAATAAATGCTTAAAATACTATCCATCATAAAAAAATTTATTTCACATAAAATAACTACAGATGCATTGGATGTGTTATAAAATCCAACTGCCAAAAAATAACCACGGCATCATTGGTGTTTATTTGTCACTCACAGTTCTTTAAATAAAACTTACCACCATCAATATACAGAATGGGAATAGGTGATTAAGATTCTAAAAATGTCAGGTCGAACATAGGATTTCACGGTGAATTAATGCCTCTTACACCACAGCTGCATATTCTCTTTCTGCAGGCCGTAAATCATCTTACATCTTACAGCCTTCTCACTCGAATGAATTGCTCTTGGGTCATGGGGACATTCCAATTCAGCCAGCGGCATAAGTAGGTTTACGGTAATGTACTGTAATGTACATCAAGATAAGACAATGAAACTCCCACACACACTTGGACTACGTGCCAGTGACGGTAAGGAAACTAAGAACAACGCAACAGTTCCAGAGAGCAAAAGAAACTCGAATCAATAGCATGTGGCAGTGTGGCTTAAGAGGTGTTATGTCACGTTCACTCCAGAGTATCTTACAGCACAACAACATGCAAATTAGACCAACTTGAAAAACATGTTTGCTGATTTAGCTAGAACAACTTACATCAAACAAATACAAGTAAGAGATAGTTACTGGGAATATGAACTCTTATATCATATAACAGCTGTAACTATTGTGAGGGTCCCCTGTTTTTTATCACGGCATCTAACTCATGTAAAAGACAGTACATACAGTAGTCTGTGATGGACTTTACTCAGATACTGTTGTTGTTGCATTCAATATTAAATTGTTAATCCTATTAATAAAGGCGACACAAGTCTCTAATGAGATAAGGCTGAAACAATGCATTGCAACAGAACATTTTCTATAAGACTGTATTAATAGTCTTTTAGAAGAAAATCTAGATGCCTGAAAAGTTCTCAACATGGGACATTCCCTATTGGACATTATAGCACAATGAACACATTTTATGTAACACCGGAGGAGGCCTCTCCAGAAGTCAGGTTTGTGGGAGATGCCAAGTCCACTTCCTGTAAGGTCAAAATGTTTTTTTTTGTGCCACTAAAATCTGAAGTGATTATACCGATTTTCATATTCTATTTTTTTAAGCTATTTAAATATCATTGGGGCTGTTAGTATGGTGGAAAAAAAAAAAAAAATTGGCTGATTATTTGAATCTTTCTTTTTGGTCATGAGCAGAGGGTGAAAAAAAAGCATGTATAAAATGACTGGAGAGATTATGTCATGCCGGGCTGTGTCAAGCTGGAAATTTTCTCATGAAATAACCAACAACAAGCACCGCAGATAAAGATAAATAACATGATAAAAAAAGATCCTTGAAAACATTTATAACTGTTTATCTCTTTCTTCTCTTACTAGAATAAAATAAAGACAACTGAAAGAATAACTAAGAAAT